GAGCTATCACGTCATTTGGATCTTTGGACACAGCAGAAAGTAGCAACCTTTGTACTTATTTTTAATATGAGTCCCATCCAAACATATCATTTGCCTACACCCACGGTGGAAACCCAAAATAGAATTTCCAAAACTAATAAAGATCCGAAGAAACTTTTGAGTTTGAGGGTCAATCTCATAATCGGCACAACTACCAGGGTTATTATGTTTTAGTGCACGACAATAACGTCTCAGTTTATCATAACAGCTCGACTCATCCCCATGAATGTCATACATTGCTTTCTCCTTACCTCTCCACGCCGTATAGTACTTAAGCTCCACACCGTACTTTCTTTGGACCTCATTCAAAATAGCAATTAGTTTGTAACCTGGCTCATCTCTCAATTTTTGTTTCATAAGTTCCGAAATCCACGTAGCATCGGCTTTTGGATGACCCCTTGTACGAAGAGTAGCATCACCACAACTGTGCTCAAGAATACATTTGCGAATGCCGAATAACTTGTCTGATTTATGAACTGATGCATAAACCCTCCATTTGCAATTTTCAACAATGCATACGGCTATGATCTTTTGTTGATCATTTTTCTTGTACTTAAAGGATCAATTGTTAGCAATGCAGTAATTTTTTAACATAAACCTAAAATCATTAGCATCTTTGAAAATTTGATTCTCCCCGCATATGCAATGTCTCCATGCATCAATTGAATCTCCAACCGGATTGTACTCAATTTGCAACGGACTGTTGGAACTAACAGACTCACTGGAAAATGCAAAAACAATGAAACAAATTGGATTATTACAGTGGATTACAAATAAATTGTAACAATTGAAATAAGTACTTTGAGTGGAATGCTTGCATACGAGAACTCAATTTATAAGATACTTGATATACAATCATTCCATACTATTAGTAGTCTTATATGATACTACGAGCTTAGTTATTCTACACTATCACTGTAGTAACACGATACTATGTAGTATTATATTCTATGCTATGATCACATAAACAAATTGAAAATGCATACAAAACAGAATGGCTGCATACCCGTTGCTGGGGGTCCTCCTTCTACGCCCATCAAGTTCATCAGTGCGGCTCACCATAATGTCGACCACACTCATGTGCATTACCAAATGCAATGTAACCTTATTCACCACGTCTTCGTTAGAAGTCAGTGTGACAAACATTCTTTCACGGGGAGCCAAGTATTGGAGCACCAATTTGTCGGGATGCATATCGTTTCACTTCACTAAGATAGATTCATAGATCTCCTTTAAAGTCGAATCATTCATAATGGAAATGATGTGCAGATAATCACTGTACCGACAACTTCCAATAATACCAGCGGCGATGGGGTTTGATTCACCATTTGCTGCCATTGTGGGATATTACAGTTTTTTTTCGCGGTCGGAAAACAAAAAGTAGTAACAGAGAATATGAGGAAAGGAAGAGGAGAGAGAAACAGAAGAGAAAAAATGGAAGAAAAAAGAGAGAGGAGAGAGAGTGTAGAAGAAATAGAAGAAAGAGGAGAGAGGAGAGAGAGTGTAGAAGAAATAAAAGAAAGAGGAGAGAGGAGAGAGGAGAGAGAGTGTATAAAGTGAAAAAAAGTGGGGTCAGGGACTGAACTGCATGTGTATGTTTGCTGTAGGGACTGACCCACTAGTAAAACATTACTGGGGACTGATCCGTATGTTTGTTTTTGAGTTGGGGATTTATCTGTACTTGTCCCATAACTAAAATTTAAATAGCAATTAATAATGATTAATAATTATGGCAAATGGCAAAAAAGGACATGACAAGGGAAAAATTCACAAAAAAAATATTAATTAAATTTTTTATTTAAGAAAAAACAAAATTCACAAAAAAAAAAAAAAAGTCAAAACCGCACGGGTTGACCTACCGAAAAAATTTCAGACCAAAAAAAGTTTTCAAAAAAAAAAAAAAGAGTATACGCCGGAGACCGGGGGTCTCCGAAGGTGGCGGGTCAAAATTGGGGTCAAAATTGAAATTAGGGTAAAAAATGGTTACTTGGTGAAATTTGGCTAAATTGGGGTTTAAATTATGAAATTGGAGTTGAATTTGTTTTTTTTTTTTTTTTTTTTTTTTTTTTTTTTTTTTTTTTTTTGTCAAAAATATACTTTTGAGTTATCGGTGCCACAAATTAGTAAGTCGAGGTATGATCGTGATTTTTTTTTTATTTGGGGGGCAAAGAGCAAAAACGACCAAAGTTTGGGGCAAAGTGCAGTTAACCCTGCTTTTAATTATCTGGTTTAATTATGTAAGGTTAATAAAATAATTTTACATGAAGTACGATGGAGTACGACCTGTGTACGATTTACTTTTACTGGGTTCGTACTTTAATTTATAAATTCATAGGTTCGTACTGGATCGTACTAGTTCGTACTTTAAATCAACGACTATTTGCATTATTGAATTGAAAACAACAAACTAGCAAAACAACAAATTGAAGAAAAAAATCAGCATCATAAAAAACATCAACAAAGAGGCCCATGACAAGGGCACTTAATTAAAAATAAACATCCAACTTTTTTGTCTTTCAAATAATTCATGCTCATTCAAACTTATTTGCAAATAAGGAAAACCCTTTTATATGTACCAAAAATTTCCACCAATTCCTTGAAACTCAATTCAACTCTAATTTCATGATTTACACCCCATTTTATCCCAATTTCATCAATTGACCAACTTTGACCCACCACCACCAAAGACCGCGCCCGTCAGCTGCTGGTCTCCGGCGTTGACTTTTTTTTTTTAAACTTTTTTTATCTGGTAGGTCAACCGCCGGGTCTCCAGCGTTGACTTTTATTTATTTATTTTGTTTTTTCTTAAAAAAATATTTTAATTAATATTACTGTCTTGGCTGCTAAATTATTATCTTTAACAATAATTCAACTGTTAATTAAAATTTTTTTTTGTTGAAATTTTCTTTTTTCTTAAAAAAAATTAGTTTAAATAATATTACTGTCTTGACTGCTAAATTACTATCTACAAAGACAGTAATATTACTCTGTCTAAGACAATAATTTTACTGTATTAATTAATTTTATCGTCTTGGTCTGCAATTTTGCTGTCTTCGACCATAATATTAATGTATCCAACCGTAATATTATTGTCTCATGCAATAATATTACTGTTTGGGACAATAATATTAGTAATATTACTGTTCAGGAAAGTAATATTCATAATATTAGTATATGAGACAGTATTATTAATTAAAATAAGTTTTTTAAGAAAAAAAATAAAAAAAAAGGTCAATACCGCCGGCGGTCAACGGCAGTTGACCGACCGGAAAAAAAAATTCAGAAAAAAAAAGTTTCAAAAAAAAAAAAAGTCAACGCTGGAATCTGGCCGGGAAAAAATTATTTTTTCAAAAAATTATTAAAATAGGGGTTAATGTGATATATTCGTTTAAATCCGAGGTCAATGTGTAATATTGAGGAAGTTATAGTATAATGGATGGAATTGATAAAAAAATATATTATAGAGGGTATTTTAGACTAAGGATATGGGATTGAGTTTATTTGAAAGACTGTTATTTTTGTGGACCAATATGCATTTAAGTCCATTGTCATGCCCCTCTTTGTCATTTGCCCATGTTTGTACATATATTAGCTAGAATCGATATATTTTATCGTATCTTATATTGTTTGTTTCTAATTTTGTTATATGCTGATGTGTGTTGATCCTTCCATGTAGGTAGATTTGGTCACATAGACTAACAAGAAATGTGAAGAACTCATTTTCGATTTTCTCAAACTACAGTTTCCTGACCAGAAGGTTAGATTTCTCTTGTGAAGGATGCGTTCATCTAGGCGTTGCAAAAATCGGTTTTTCTCTAAGTTTTGTTATTCGGATTAATGTTTGAAATTTCTACTTCATAATGTTTGTAGGAATCTCTTATAGAAAATAATGCTTCTTCTGCATGAAGAAAACTAGTATTCACCACAGCCGATTGGTGGCTCTAGATTTTGATTTCACTCCCTTCACACATCTGCTCCATCTTTAGGTCCAAACACTACATGTCATATTTTTCGGGAACCACTTGTCAATGCAATCGGAGCGCCGCGGTTCGAACATCTTGGACTGTCAATAATCCGTGTCGGAAATTTGCAGGATGTGCTAATTGGACTGTCAATAATCCGTGTCGGAAATTTCATTTTAGTTTGTACTTAACATTTACTTATTTTCTCGTGTATGAAAATAGAAGCCCAACGGATGCAAGTTTCTACAGCGGATTGAGCCTGAAATATGTGACAAAGAGTTGGAGATTGGGCAAGGATTTCAAAGATTTTTGGATACAAAAAAAGAAAAAGTCAACATGCTAGAGGCTGTCAATGAAACACTGAAGTTGAACAATGAGAAACTCCATGAGGTAGCTCTCAATTTGACCAGCACCAACACTGAAATGACGATGAAGATGCAAGGCATGGAAGAAAAACTCAAAATATTATAACGTGGAGCATCCAACTACAAGAAGAAATTTAGAATTCTCAAAATGGTTGTCATATTGGCATTCTTCATGTTTCTATTATGTTGGTTAGTACAAGCCTCAAACAAGAAAAATAGCTATTTGGATGTAATGTAGATTATCTATGTAAATAAAAAATCCTGGAAGTTGAAATTTAGATTTGCAAGGAAACAAGAAAAAGAGCTATTTGTATGTAAAAGTAGATTATATATGAAAATGAAATATCCTGTAAATTCATCCCAAAAATATCAAAAGTACCATAACAAACATCCAAAATATAAAAACATAATTCAAAACCATTAAATATATCAGTAAAAACCTACAAAATCATCTGAATATAAAGCTACACAAGCTTCAATGATCCCCATCATAATAGTAAAAGTGAAATTATCCAAATCAAAGTTCAA